CACTAATTTTGGATTTATATTCTCCAGAACCATAAGGTAATAAACTTTTATTGCTTTAAGCCACAAAATGTGATAATTTGTCACAGTAGTAACTGGAAACTCATATCCCAGCATTGTTAATAAATTTTGCCCTGAAAAGTAGCTGTGTATAAAATCCCAGGATATCTGACAGTTTGAACTAGGAACCTATGTTTGTCCATGAGAAAGGCAAAGTAGAGTGGGACACTGCCCTAGGGTTCATGGGCACAGGATGCTATTTAGGAGCCACTTGCGCAAAAAAGCACAAGGTTGAGAGGGAAAGGAGCCAGGAACAGAGCTACCCCAGTGGGGTCAATTCACTGCAGGTGGTGTAGAAATAGGCCTCAGCGATGCTCTTCACTGCTTCTTCTGGAACTGGGGGACCAGAAATCTGGGAGAGACATAATTTTATTTCATTTATATTTAGTTACTTCCTTTTCAGCTTTTTTTCAGCTTTCCTGTTAATCTTTGGTTCTTTTTAAAAATTACAAACCCAGCTCAGCTTATGCAAGTTAAAGGGCTTCTAGATATAAAGGAAAATAACTACATATCTGATCAGGTAAGGCTTTAGCCTGCTAGTGAAGAATGAACTGGAAAGGAAAAAAACTTTTAAAAGGTCAGCATAAGGACAACCACAAAAATTTTGACAAAAAGTAATGATCCATCAAGTATGTAATCTGTAAAATGGGGATAATAATAAACCTTCGAAGACCGTCGTACAATAAAATGAGAGAAGGCACACAAGTACATAGTAAACAGAAAATCCAGACTTCAAATTGTTGTGTGACCCTTTCAGGCTGCCACAGTCTCCAAGGTGGTGCTTCAGTGGAAATGTTTAAACGACTCCCTTCGTCTGCAATATGGTCTGTCACAAGGGCTACTAGCCCTTAAAGGACTGCTTCCATTTTATTCCCAACAATTCTACCTACAAACTGTTCAACTCCATGCGAATGGATTAAGAGCACAAAATCTGATCAGACTCACAGAAATTGGTATCACAGGTCCACCACTTAGTCTGTGTCACCCAGGCAATACCTGAGGTGTCACACCAACAGATGTGTGAAGTTAAAATGCTCAATGATAAAGATATTTTAACAATAATAATTTGACTGACCCTCAAGAAATTCAACTCCTCCATAAAGCCCTGTTTGATTCCCCTGGATTTTCTGATCACTTACTGTAATGATGGGGCGGGGAGTGTCTCTCCTTCTTCTGAAATCTTGCAGCATCTCTTACCCCATAGTTTCACCACCTCATTTGGGTGAATATCATAGCAGCAGTCAGATCGGATGGAAACTATTTCCTTTGCTGTCTCCCTGACCAGACTAAAAATTACTCTAATTCAGCAATTCCATCGCCTAATATAGTGCCCAGCAAAATCAATCCAGATAAACAGGCTCAAATTATCATGATACTCTACATGATAATTTGTACTTTTTTACTTGTTTACTGCCTATCTCCCCGCACAAGAAAACTAGCTCCTTGTGGACGAAGACCAGGTCTGTCTTGCTCACCTGTGTACCCCCAGACCCTAGCATAGCGCCTGCCACATATGAATGGCTAAAGGCCTGAAAGCCAGAGGGGAAGAAAAACCCACTGCCTGCAACAGACCTAAAGGGAAGGAAGACTGGTAGTACTGTATTTCCTGCCTTAACCCTTTCCATAAAATCACAAAATCTGAGAGCTTGAAAGAACCTTGCGGTTCACCTTTCCACATTTTGGGTTCCAAGCATAATGTCAACCACCACCATCCACTGATTAATCTCATTAGCTGTGAAGGGGAATAATGGTCATGATATAAAAAATGTAATGTAGTAAGAGATTTGTTTGCTTAACTTTTTTTTGTATGTATATTTAATGTATTACCTTTGAGTAATAATATTAATTTTAATCTGCATAGTACTTTATAATCTAAAATTCCACATCTTTATTGAAGCATTAAAACTGTGCTCATGAGGTAACACATAGGAGACACTTAGAATAGGGTCTGGCACCTGGCAAGCAAAAGTGTCCACCTTATCCTCATCATTACCAAATCGCAATGTGTATAACCATGAAGAAACTCAGGCGTCCTTTTTCTACTCAAGGACCTTCCAACAGTCTTAATCCATTCTTTCTCCAAGGACAATTCATGGCTTACACAGAAATAGCTACCAAAGGACTTTCTCCTCATCTAACCTCTAATTTCCATAATGGCAAGAAAAGGAAAGAAGGTCCTTTCCTTTTCACTTTATTATCATTTTGCAGACTTTCTACAAAAAAAAAAAAGAGAGAGAGAAAGAAAGAGGCAGCAGGCCTGCAAAAAAAAAAAAAAAAAAAGATAACCGCCAAGGAAAAACCTAGTAGGGCTAAGGTGGAGCCAGGGCATTAGGTGATTCTCAAATGGACATGATCAATATAGTGGGAGTGGAGTATCTAGAAAGATCCCCCAACTTCAGTACCAGTCTGGATTAGATTCTCTTAATTTGAAATCAATAGATGGCTTGCATGGCAATTATGTTTTTAAAACATACATGTTATATGAGAATATGTGTTATAAAAGTGTGACAAAAATTCGTAACTTCCAACATATATATATATATATATATATAACGTGATATAATAAAAAATTTATTTAGAATAGAGAACATGAAAGCTTTAAATTAAGGTCTTTAGTTGCTGAAATACTGTCTTCTCAGACCCCTTGATCCTTGATTTAAGGTCAGTAGGCCTATTAAAGGTAACTTGGAAAATATTTAAGAATTGAGAAACTACATGCAAACAGTAAGGGATTCATGGACATTTAGCTTCATCCTTACCACTCAGTTAAAATCTGCTATTCAGCTTCAGTGTGGTCCTCGGCCTTTGGAAGGCAAAGGAGCTGAAGCCTAACTCCGGATCATTTCTGGCATCAATGAACCTGTCCATGATCAATGACCTTATAACTGAGTATCTTGTGATCATAACTAAATTATGTCACTAATAGTGTGTCATTTGAATTCAATGCAAATATCTGCATATTCACCTGAAATACAGATTAGCATTCTAGATGTGATCTGGATGAAAATCTCTATGTGTTTTACATGTTGAAATTACAAAAGCCAGGAAAAGATAAGTGTCTATTTAGTACTGCAATAATAGAAAAATATATGGTGATTTTGGAAGCAGTTCATTCTATATCCAAAAATAATAAAAAACTTCCAAATAATCAAGTACGTGGAAAAATAAGTTGGAACTTATAAAAGTATCAAAAGAATGTACATTGGCCAGCTGTTTCTAAAAACCTAAATAGTAATATAAGACAAAAACTAGGGATTATGAAATAATTCTAATATTTATATAACTATTAATAACAAAATAAGAACTGTGTTTAAGAACTGTGTTTAATTTTTAAGTGATTACACTTAAACCTGAGACTTTCAAGAAAAACCATTTGGGAATTTTCACATCCTGTGAGAAAAGATTAAAAGTAGAATTTCAACTTCTGCTTTGAAAGAATGTTGACTTTGACATTTACCTATTTGGCAAAAACATCTATTCAATTCATCTCGAATTCAGATAAAGGGTTTACTCCTGGTTTTCTCCTTTGAGCATTCTTCCAAACTCCCATTTGAAAGAGTAAATATGGGGTTTGCTTCTTCCAGTCTTATCCTAGGAAATACTTATAGGTCATGCTGTCAAGGAAGCCCTGAAGCACCTGTCCACCGTTCTCCTCCTGCTCTTCGGGTGAGGGGGTGGAGGGAGATTCATACCCATGTGAAAGGCATCCTAGTGTCTCTGGGTGCATTCCGTGAACCTGTTGCTAGCATACCTTTCCGAAACAAGCCTGCTCTTACCCAAACCTCTATTTTTCAAAATCTCTGTTGAGGGGAAAGCACAGGGGAAGGAGGACCGGAGGGGGGTACCTGGCAGGGACAGATCTGAAAAGAACATGAGCTTTGGACCCAGAAGCCATGGATTTGAAGCCTAACTTATTAAGTCAGCAGGAAATTTAACCTTGCAGTACTTGTTTTTTCACCTCTTACATGAGGATTACTGTTCTCAAGGGAGTTGTGCTGGTGACATTACTAATGTAGGTCAAGTTCCAAGTACTGGCCTTGGCCCAAAGTATCTGCTCAATAAACGGTAGCTCTCATTACCCTGAGCACTTCACCACTGCCTTCGTGGTTCCAGATTTTACACATCCTGTGACAGGGCCATAACACAGGTCTCATCAACTCCAAAGGTCTGGAATTTTCCAGTTATCTCTCCTCCTAGGCCTTTGCTTTCAACATCCAACATTTCCAAGCCGTTCCCGTATGTACAGTGCAATGTGCCTGCCTTGCTCACTTGCCTCTAAATTTCTGGAAGGAGAGCTCTAGTCAGAGAAAATCCTAAAGCAGCGAAAAAAGATCAGAGATTCTAAGATTATCCAGTTGGCACCTCCCAGGATCCACAAAACACATGTTGGAGGGAGGGAAGGAAGTTCTGCATGTCTGAATGAGATTCTAAGGCCTGTGTTGAAGTGCGCTCTGCGCGCCGCCTCCCAATCCCTATAGGGAGAGCGAGGCGCTTCTGGCCACATTTCCTCATCCTAAAGGAAGAAAAGCGGCGGCGGGGCTGCGTGCGCGCCTATGAAGACACCCGCCCACGCGCGCTCCGCCAACGCAGGGACGCAGCTCACTCCCTGAACCGAGGAAGAGGGAGGCTCCAGCCGGACTCACTTCCTGCGGAGGAAAGGAAAGACCTCTCGCCGCAGGGTGGCCGGCGGCAGTCCCGCCCCTGGGCCGGCCGGCAGCGGAGGGCGCCCCGCGGGCACCTACGTGGCGCAGCCGGCTCGGGAGGCGCGGGCAGGCGAAGGCCGCCCCGCCAGCCCCGCCTGCCCGCCGGACTCCGGCCGACCCCGGCCAAGGGCGACGGCAGCGACGCCCGCGGAGCCCCCGGCCCCGGTGGAGGGGCGACCCCGGGAGGCGCACGGAGCGCGGCAGGAGCAGGGGCGCGCAGGCTGCCCTCGGGTCACCCACCTTTCTCACTCTGCGGGCCGTGTAGAGCCCCATCCCGTCCTGAACCCGGGAGGACTTCAGGGAGAACCTGTCCGGCACGTACATGCCCAGCATTTTCCCGGCCGCGGCCGCCGCCGCCTCGCTCAGCACCAGCGCTCTGCGCCCGGGCGGCGACACATCGAAATTTGGGGTGCTGGGGTGGCGGGGAGAGGCCGGCGGGGAAGGAGGAAATGGAGTTTTCCTCCCAGAATCCCCACCTCCCCCGCCGATTCCAGGATCCCCCGCGGCTCAGCCCCTCCTAGTCCCGGGTCTGGCTCAGCCCGGAGCCGCCGCGGCCGCTGCTGCCATTGCTGCCGCGGGGGCGCGGGGGGCGCGGGGGGCGCGGGCCGGGGCGCTGCGGTCTCAGAGACGCCGCGCGCTGATTGGCCCGAAGTTGGCGGCTCGGACCCGCGCCGGGCGCGGTGCCGGGAGCAGAGCTGACCTCGGGGCCTCAAGCCCGGAGCCCGGCGAGAGGAGAGGACCCGTCTGCTACCCGCCGCGCAGGGCGCTGCAGCGTACGGACCTGCCCTTGTCCAGCTCTGGGTTTTGCCCCGCTGAGCTAGTAGTACTCCTAATCGGGGAATTTTACTGTTTTCAGATGCAAAACGAAATGGGCCATGACACAGCTGGAGGTATCCTCCCAAATAATTTTATGGAATTCCAGACTCTGAAAGTATGCTTATTGCCCGGCTACTGAAAGCCAACCCTAAGGACTAGGAACTTTGGGTGCTTCTCACATCTAAGTTATGCGTCTTTTTTTTTTTTTTTTTTTTTTTAATGCTTGTTTCAGGGATTTGAATTCATAGGGGATCCGTAAGTATGGTGATTAACGTACAGGGAAAGGGGGTGTACACAGTCTGCAACTAATCGATTTCAAGTTAATTCAAAATTTGTCGCCAACAACTTAATACTTAAATCCAGCGGAAACTAGTTCTTGTATGGTGCTGTAACCCAGGGGAAGTTCTTACACTTCCCAAGATACACCATTCCTGAGTCCTCTCTTGCTTGGAAATCACCAGACCTGTCAGATCTTCAGACATAAGCAGGAGAGGTGGGGGAGATGGGAGGGAACGCCCAAACAGTTGAATCCTGTATCACAGCAATGAAACAACAGAAGCCTTGTTCTAGTGGTTTTAATAAAGTTTGGTACTTCTCAGAAGAAATTTTGAAAGGCTATTTTCTCCTTTAAGACAAGCTAGGAGCTTTCTGTTCATTTCTCTTGATATTCTTGATAATTTTCTACTCTGAGGTCTTTTGGAATTCATTTGATGTTCCTATAAACATTTGATGTTGCTTATAAACCATTAAAAATAACATTAAAGAGCACACTGTTAAATAATAAAATTCAACTAAATAAATTTTAAAGATTTTATTGGCTGCATTCAACAATCCATGAATGGGGCAGCATGCAATCTAGCAAACAGAAAAGAGCTTTGAGGAGCTGTACCAAATGAAAGACTTTTACAGGCAGAAGAAAGCAGGAACAAGGAAATTATACAAACAAAAAAGCAGATTGGCTGTTGCAAGGTTACTTTCTTTTAGATGATGGCAGGTATCCATCTGGCAGATTACCTATCTAGTACTTATCAGGCAACTCCCCATTGACTGGTTTAAAATGACATTTTCACAAAAGCCAAAAGGAATTAGTTTGAATCTCAGTTTGATAACATGGAGCTTAACATAAGTGACTCCATTTTGAGCCTGTTGTCTTGTTTTTAGCAACACACACACATCATGGAAGCGATTTCTATTTCTTGATTAAGAAAAGCCTTGGAATGAAAATAGTTCCTCATTTCTTAAGTAGAAGAATTTTATTAAAATCATATAATAACAATATTTGCAGATTAAAGAATAGAATAAATGATCCTCTTTTTTGAAAAATATGAGAGTAGCTTTGTCAGGGGTGAGAAGAACAATGTCTTAATTATTCTCTGAGTTTCCATCCCTTCAACCCACCATTGAAGATACTATCTAATCTTCTGTAGAGGGGAAATGAATCAATAAATAAATATAGTTTGGGGCACCTGGGTGGCTCCATCAGTTAAGCTTCGGACTCTTGGTTTCAGCTCAGGTCAGGATCTCAGGCTCTTAAGATCAAGCCTGGCGTTGGGCTCCGCACTCAGCACACTCAGTGGGGAGTCTGCTTGTCCCTCTGCTCCTCCTCTCCATGCACGCATGCAAGCGGGCTTTCTGTCTCTGTCTCTAAAATAAATAAACACAATCTTTCAAATAAATAAATCAATAGTTTATTTGAATGGAATTTGAAATTAAATGGCCTTGAAACACATAACAGGTGTTCAGTAAATATTTCTTGATTAAAAGTCAATTCTGGGAGCGCCTGGGTGGCTCAGATGGTTAGGCGTCTGCCTTCGGCTCAGGTCATGATCCCAGGGCCCTGGGATCGAGCCCGCATCAGGCTCCCTGCTCAGGGGGGAGCCTGCTTCTCCCTCTCTCACTCCCCCTGCTTGTGTTCCTGCTCTTGCTATCTCTCTCTCCGTCAAATGAATAAATAAAATCTTTAAAAGTCAATTCTGAGGCTAATCTGAGATTTTCAAACTAGTGAATGAATGATATGCCTAAATTTCACTTGTGCCCCAAAGAAATCTGGACTAAGTCGGTTTTCCTAGGGTCCTGTAAACCAGTGCTACACCCAGGGCACACCAGGTCCCCTGAGCCCAGCTGGAACCAGATCACAATCCAGAGGGTGGCCATGGCATTTTCCCCAGAGCACTCAGTCCTTTTTCAGACACAAGCCTTTCAGTTCTGGCCCTTAAGCCACACTGGCTTTTCAGTCAAATGCTCTCCCATGTCTCTTTGGGCACAGAAGTTTCCACAGCTTTTGGTCATTAGAGAGAAAAAGAAATGTTTTCTGGTCTTGGTCTGACACAACCCTCATTCATTGATGACCCTTGTTTGGCATATCTCCCTTTTTGTTGCGTGTTATGTTTCGGGGAGCGAAGTTGTCAGCTTGAGAATGCTCATCTTTCTGAATGTATGTATCTTTATCAATTAATAAATAGTAAAAAATAAATGTGTGTAAAGATAAGTCTGGAAGTAATAAAATGAGAAACTTTCCAGATCTTTTATGAATCTCTGTCAGAGATTTTGTTATAATTGGCACAAACAGTAGATTTCATCAAAGACTACAATGTTCTTTTTACCTATATGATGGAGTGTTCAGAAGATCTGCCTAAAAGATGGAAATCAGTAATAAAAAGCTCTTAATAATAATCTCTATTACAACACATGAAAAAGGATACATGTTTGCCAAATCAAAATGCATAATACTGACCGGAAATTTGATTTTGAAGCCTGTAAAGACAGTAGTTGTACAATGAGTCACTTCTTAGAACTTTAAAAGCTAGAAAGTGACCTTTCAATATTATCTTTAGAAAAACGGGAAATTAAATGTCTGCTTTATATCATGAGTTTAAATCCAGTCTTTAAAAAATAAGTAAGAAAACCAAAATATTGACATCAAAGTACTACCACACACCTGATTTACTTATTCTAGAAAATTTTGATGCAAGAGAAATGACTCTAAAAACATGTCTCCTTATTTTCAAATTTGCTCCTGGAGGAAATTTTTTTCACTGATATGCCTAAAGCAAACTCTACTTACTGAATTCAAACTTGTGTGCTGGTGCAGGCCTTGTTTTTCATTACAAGGAAAGACTTGAATGATGATTCTATATTAATTAATTATTTTACCAGAATCCTTTTGATTGTGTCTTGGTTATTAATGATTGTTTCCAACTGCCATGATAGAATAAAAGCCTAATAGAAAAAAAAAACAGAACAAAACACTGAGCGTTATTTGTCTTTAGTTTCCTGAGAGTCAGAAGGATTTTGTAGTGAATGAATATGAAACCAAGTTTCCCGAGAAGAAAAGAATAAAGATCTATTTAGTGTGACTCAAAAAAAAAAAAAAAAAAAATTCTGAAAATAAAATCCATAGTTGGGTTGTTGGATTCTTGCTCTAAAATCATTTCTCCTTAGCACTGATTCTACAATAGCAACAGCACCATGAAAAGATGACCCTGAAACCTGAAAAATTCTGCATATTTATTTTTCCTTAATCTCTTGGTTTTAAGTGATGATACCAAAGACTTATATGTGGTACCAGAACATAGTCATTAAATCCTTTAATTAGAAAAAAACCTAGAGGCACCTGGCTGTCTCAGTCCATAGAGCACGCAACTCTTAATCTCAGGGTCATGAGTTTGAGCCCCACATAGATGTAGAGATTACAAAAAACAAACAAATAACAAACAACAACAACAAAAACATGAAAAAACCTAGAAGTTATTTGGATTAGAGTGAGTAATGTTGTAAAAAGAAAAGCTAAAGGGAAGGGAAAAATGAAGGGGGGGAAATCGGAGGGGGAGATGAACCATGAGAAACTATGGACTCTGAGAAACAAACTGAGGGTTCTAGAGGGGAGGGGGGTGGGGCCTGGTGATGGGTTATTAAAGAGGGCACGTACTGAATGGAGCACTTGGTATTATATGCAAACAATGAATCATGGAACACTACATCAGAAACTAATGATGTAATGTATGGTGATTAACATAACATAATAAAAAAAAACATTGATGCCTTGGGCCCTGGAAAAAAAAAAGAAAAGCCAAAGGATAAATCAGTGGTCATGGCCCCAAAAGTCAATGCTGTTCATGGAGCAGCGTGTGGAAGGGTAGCAGGAAGCTGAAGGAAACTAAGAGGAGGAAACCAAGGAGGAACCCAAGGATAATAGTTTCCATGCATTGAGCCTAGTATATACCAGAAACCAGACTAGGTTCTTGGTATCCATTATCTTAAAACCCTAACAGCCCTACCATAACAGTCTGGCAAAGTACATTTTATTTGCCCCCTTTTACACACCAGGAAACTGAATCCCAGAGAAGTGATCAGTCATAAGTCAATTTCACACATCTATGAAGTGGTGGAGGTAATTCAAACCCAGGACTGACAACTCCTATGTCCTTGATTCTGTCTCCTGCTCATTCAGTCTGGTTCACTTTCCAGTTACACTTCCCATGAGGCTTTAGGAGAGGAAGAACTCTCCACTTAACCTCTCTCTCTCTCTCCCTCTCTCAACTCCCCTCCCAATGCCCCATCCAACTCCTCCTCTAGAACTGGGCAGCAAATTTGATTGGCCAAAGTCCATAAAATATTTACTCTGTTGTCAGATGCTCCAGTTGGGTTCAATCAACTGTATCGAAGAGAAGATCAAGTCCTGTGATTCTCCAAGGACATTTCCTCTGCAGAGAGTGACTGTAAGATAAGACACTGCTTTTACAGAAAGTTTCCCTGAACCTGATACATATTTTGAAGCTTGGCCTATTTAAAACCACAGCCTAGCTCATCCACACATTTCTAATCCACAGAAGTGATAATATTAAGAAGAATCAGTAATTAACCAAAAAGCAATACCAATGCTCCCATGTTTGTCAGAACCTCACAATTTGTTCTACTGGTTTTCCTTTTCCC